CACTTGTTCTCTGGGAGCACTCGTTTTAGGGGAAGTTAATCTTCATGTTATATGGTCACTCAAGCAGATGTGTGGGCAGGTGCACATGGAGAGGAACGGAGGCTTCCTGCCGGCAGCCAGCATCAACTTGTGAGCTCTGTGAGGGAACCACACTAGAAGCAGAGCCTCTAGCCCCAGTTAAGCCTTATGATGATGATGGCAGCCTCATGAGAGTCCAAGCCAGATCCTTCTGGCTAAACTACTCCTGAATTCATGACCCACAGAAACTGTGCATACTTAGTTAAGTTCTTATTGTTGTTTTAAGCCTCTGAGTAAGTTTTTGGGTAAGTTATTTTATATATACATATATAATATATATATTTATACTATATATGTATGTACTATATAGTATAGTTATATATATAGTATAACTCCTCTTTTACTTAAAAAAGCATATTGGTACACATGCTCATACATGCCCAGAAAATACCTCAAAGGGCACACTAAGGGAGTAACTGGGTTCTGATAAAGTGGGTAAGGAGGGAATATGTGCTATATCCTTTTATATTCTCAAATTTACTTACTAGACCACTTATTACTTTTACAATTTTTAGAAGTTTATTTTTTAAAATGTTTAAGCAAGGGGCGCCAGGGTGGCTCAGTTGGTTAAGCGTCTGACTCTTGGTTTCGGCTCAGATCAGGATCTTACAGCTGTGGGATCGAGCCCCAATGGTAGGCTCCATGCTCTGTACGCAGTCTACTTCAGATTCTTTCTCCCTCTCCCTTAGCCCCTCCCCGCTCATGCTCTCTCTCTCAAATAAATAAAATTTCAAAAAGAAAATATTTAAGGGGTGCCTGGGTGGCTCAGTGATTAAGCGTCTGCCTTCGGCTCAGGTCATGATCCCGGGGTCCTGGGATCGAGCCCCACATCGGGGCTCCCTGCTCCGCGGGAAGCCTGCTTCTCCCTCTCCCACTCCCCCTGCTTGTGTTCCCTCTCTCTCTCGCCATGTCTCCCTCTGTCAAATAAATAAATAAAATCTTAAAAAAAAAAATTTAAGCAAAACAATGTTCAGAGGGATAAACCATAATGATGGCCTTTCCCAAGCCTTCTTGTCCTTCATGTTTTCCTTGACTTTCTCCGACTCTCAAGATCTAACTTTGGAATAGGCTGATATTCTCTAAAGGCTTTCCAGTGGCCAAATACTGGAGAACGGTTTTCTCTTTTTTTTTTTTAAAGATTTTATTTAGTTGACAGAGAGAGACACAGCGAGAGAGGGAACACAAGCAGGAAGAGTGGGAGAGGGAGAAGCAGGCTTCCCGCGGAGCGGGGAGCCCGATGCGGGGCTTGATCCTAGGACCCTGAGATCATGACCTGAGCCGAAGGCAGACGCTTAATGACTGAGCCACCCAGGCGCCCCGGTTTTGTCTTTATTATCAGTGCATTTCATTGAGAACACTGACCCCACGACTGCTGCTAGTGCCGGAACCCTGATTTGATTATTTGCACTGAATACTGTTCATGGCACTCACATTGCTGCCGGGTGCTGACAGCTCGGCCGGAGTTTGCCACAGAGCCCGAGGCTGGGGAGGTGGCTTCTGCAGAAGGGGGTGGCCCATGATTCCAGTTGAGCCTAATTTCTCACCAATAAAGACAGAGCCTGGGAAATATTACACAGAATGACCGACCAGTAGAAGCAAGAGCAGCTCACACCCGAACCCGAGCCAGCTCAGACTCTCCTTCAACAAAGACAAGGTGCGGTGTGAGGGACTCCTATCACTTCCATTTAGATCGAACAACCATCTCAGTGAAGTTCCTAGGCTTAAAAAAATGTGGGACTTGATCTGTGTTTGTTTTCTTCAGAACTGGGGGTGGATGACACATGCCTCTGACCTAGTGGAATCAGAGACTTCTCTTGTGAAGACAACATCCAAACTCTGCAGCACGGAAACATAATTTTAATAAGACTGGGGGGCGCAGGGAAGCAGTGACAAATTTTACCTTTGATTCTGTAACATAGTTCAATCCTCCCAAGGGCCCCCAGTGAGTTCAAGTTCCAAAAAGAAAGTTGTAATCACTCAACTATGCATATGATGAGATTACAGCCCCAGGATTTATGAAATCTTGGTAACCAGGAAATTAGTCTGAAACCGCTGCTACAAACAACAAAAGTGACACCCAGGTAATATGCGTAAAACAACTCCAAACCAGGCAGTTTAGCATTAGTGCTGGCACAAATCCACATTGGCTTTCAAATTAAGAAGCCCCTCTTAATTTGAGTGGAGCCAGCAGAGTGCAAAATATTCAAATCTGCAGATCGCTTTAAAAATTTGGACCCCACTGGTGCCTGGGTGGGCCAGTCAGTTAAGCGTCCAACTCTTGGTTTCAACTCATGGGATGTGGGATCAAGTTCTGTGCTCAGCAGGGGGAGTCTGCTTGAGATTGCTTTCTCCCGCCCCCTCTGCCCCTCCCCCTGCTTGCTCACATGCACGGGCACGCTCTCTCTCAAATAAATAAATAAATCTTAAAAAAAGTTTGATGAAAAATGAACCAACATCAACAACAACAATCCTCTTCCTTAGGGAACTAAATAATGATCATCCATACATGGAATACTACCTGGTCATTAAAAATAATGAGGAAAGGGAGCCTACATGGCTCAGTTGGTTAAGCATCCAACTCTTGATTTCGGCTCAGGTCATGATCTCGGTCGGTGGTGAGACTGGGCCAAGGGTGGGGCTCTGCACTCAGTGAGAGTCTGCTTAAGATCTTTTCTCTCCCTCTCCTTCTGCCCCACCCCCACTTGTGCATGCTCTCTAAAATAAGTAAAATCTTTAAAAAAACATTTTAAAAATAATTAGGAAGATCCATATTAATGGATTTATCAGTTAACATGTGTGCGCATGTATATATTCACATATTTCTTAAGATATTTATAATATTTAAGATATGTAACAGTTAATATATTTAATAGATAATATACATATGCATTTTTAGATAAGTTATAAAAATTTGGGAGATGAGAATGGGCACAGGTAGGAAAGAAAATTTTCATATGTTCTTGTTCAGTTTAATATACCAGCATGTATTATAAAAATGATTAACAAAAGAAATGGCAAATACCAAAATAAGTCTTTCCACTGGATCAGTCCATACACGACCTGCACGGCCCCTGTGAGCCATCTGCTTCTGCTTCTGCTTCCTTTTCTTCTGTGCCCACCATCTTTTGCTTCCTTACCTGGAGGATGAAGACAACCTAAGCCTGCTATGAGACTCAAAGCAGAGCCTGCAGGGAAGGCAAGGTATAAACGGGAACTGGAAGGGAAAGGGGGCACAGCAGAAATGAAATCCCATGAGCAGTGTAACAGTCACAGCGCTAAGTGATTTTTATGAGTGCATATGTGTGCTGAACATTTAACCCTCATAACTCCATAAGGAAAATATCATTTTCCTCGTTTTACAAATGAGAAACGAAGGCACAGGGAAGGATCTTCCCTTAGCTCACAAAACGAGGTACGATGGGGGCAGGAGTCAGCCCTGCCCGCCGGCTCAAGAGCTGCCCTCTTCGTCAAAAGGCTGTGCTGCTTCAAGGCAAATTAAAACAGTAAGATTCTGTTTCTAGTCGGATTAGCAAAATTCCAAAAGATTGATAGAGCAAATGTGGAGGAGCATTTCAGGAAACAGGTGCAAATGTACTGTTTTGGTTGAAATATAAACTACTGAAGGCAATCTGGCAAGAGTTACCAAAATTTAAAATGGTCGTCTGACTTTTGACCTGGTCATTCTACTTCCAGGAACTTATCCTATAGAAATACTCACAAAGATGTCTACACAGATGTCCAATGCGGCACCATTTTAATAACAACAACAACAACAATAATAAAAAGAGAAAGAGACTTCAGGAGACATCGCTAGGGAAATAACTAACTACATCACAATATACCCCCAAATTCAAGTCTGTATCCATTAAAAATGGAGGTCAACCTACAGACACAGAATGGAAAAAATTCTAAAAGGTTAAGTGAAAACAATTGTCCTCAAGCAGTATGTACTGCATGGCCTTATTTATCTAAGAACTGTGGTGTGAGCATCACATCATTTCTTTTTATAGGAGTGATGCTGGAGCTACCCTTTCCCCACACCCTCCCTCAAAAAAACCCACAAAACACACAACTCAAAAATAAGTTGTAAAAAAAAGGGGGGTCATGTGTTATTTGTAAATCAATCATTACAATAAAATTATTTCAAAAAAAAATCACAAATACAAGTTATATAAATTCACTTTGGAATATGTACCCTCTAAATATCTTATATATCACATCTCTTTAGCATTCTTTTCCAAACAGATCTGGTTCAAATCCAGCTAAGGCATTACAATTTCGTATTTGTAGCAAGTGAAAAAAACTGCCAATAAATAATCCAACTATAATTTTGAAAAATACTAAGTGGTAAATGCCCCTCTTACTTTGAAACCATCTATAACTCAGACTACCTGAAGATTCTGAGGCAGTATACAGTTACATGAACTTTGTGTTTCCACATTTAAAATCTTCAATGTATTTTCCTTGTAGCGATAAGGATATATACAAAAGCTCAGAGGGCTGATAAATAACTGAGAGTCATAATGAGACAACAAACAGATCTCATTACAAGCTATACATAAAAGGGACACAAAGCAGTTTGCTTTTCCCTTCGCACCCAGACCAGTGGTTCTCAAACCTGGGTGTGCATGAGCATCTGCAGCAGAGGCTTGTTAAAATGCAGTTTCCTGACTCAGACCCTGAACTCTCTCATTCCTGAGTCTGACGAACCTGCATTTTTAAACAAGATCCACAAGGAGGTGATAGGAAAACCCCACTAACATTCTAAGTCTACGGTCCAATGCTAACCAGCTGCCCCTGATTGGAACAGAAGCGACCCTGACTCTGCGTAGCTTCTTCACCTTGTTACTTTCTTCATCTGTACAGTCAGTTCATTGGTCTGATCATCTCTGAGGACACTAAAGCTCTAACACGGCTATAAGTTCCAGCCAAGAGTTTGTACAAGTCACCGAGCTTCTGATTTTTCACCGCCTTCTAAAAAGTTTGCTTCTGTTAGTTCCATTTCCGAGAGCACCTGAGTAGAGGAATTCTAAAACTGACATCTGTTAACTTTGGGGGACTTTCCTCATGCAAACAGGGAAGCTTCCAGCAATCCTGAGAGGTGCTACATATACATGGCATGTGGTGAGACCCACTTGGTCAGGGGACAACAGAAACATACCCATAACATTAAGCAGGCTCCAAATCCTCCTGTAAAACAACCAATGGAGGGCCTGAAAAACTCAGTAAGAGGTTTTAATAGTGGTTGAACTTGAAGAATAAGAGCTGGATTTCCTGGAGGACTTCTTTGAGGTGATGAAGGATATTTGCATCTGCCGTACGGTACGTACACTTCGACAAAGGAGAGCATTCTTCGCGTGATCCCTGAAGTCTTGTGAAACAAAGTAATAGACGAAGGGGTCGATGCAGCTGTTCAGGGTGGAGAGGCAGAGGGCTACAATGTACAGGGCGTAGACCTGGCTCTGGCTCCTGGTTTTAATCAGGAAATAATGTACCACAAGCAGAAGGTTACTAGGAGTGAAGCAGATCAGGTACATGGCCAGGACAGTGACAATGAGTTTGACGGCTTTCTGCCTCTTCTTTTCCGAGTTTTCATCCATAGCAGAAGATTGGAGTGTTCTGATCATTAGCACATAGGCAGAGGCCGTGAGCAAGGCTGGGAATAGAAAGACTCCGATGGCCAGAGAGAGGAAATAATTGAACATGTCCCCTACCAACACCTCCTTAGGCAAAACATCATGGCAGGTTGTGATGTTAAGGGCTGGAATGTAGACAGTCTGCTTCACAACATACAAGGGGATGGTAACCAGCAGAATCAGCACCCATATCCCCAGCGAGACCCCAAAGGCAATGTTTGCCTTCTTCCTGGGATGCACCAAGGGATTCACGATGACCCAGTACCTCTGCACACTGAGGCAGGTCATGAAGAGAATGGAACAGTACATGTTGCCATAGAAAAAGCCAATGAGTACTTTGCAAAGAGCTTCCCCGTAAATCCAGTTGTTGCCATGTATGTGATAAGCAATCTTCAAAGGGAACCAGATCACAGAGAGGAGGTCTGCCAAGGCTAGATTGGCCATGTAAATCACAGCAGGGTGCTTTTTCTTTGTTCGGAAAAGAAAGACCCACAGAGCCATGCCATTACTTGGCAAACCAATCACAAATACAATCACGTAGACAATTGGAAGAAAGACGGTAGTCAGTTTTCCAGTGAGGACGGAGGCAGAAAACTCATCCACAGAAAAGCCTGGCTCCACGGTAACTCCTTTCCCAGTGATATGAGATGAGCTATCAACCTTACCAATGAGACTTCTTCCTTTAGAGGTTCTGTTGGTTCCTATACAAAAAAGGCAAGGTAGACAAGGGTCATTACAGAGATCAATCTTTCAGCGGTAATTGTTTAAATAAAAGTACTTTAGGGGCTCCTGGGTGGCTCAGTTGGTTAGGTGTCCAACTCTTGGTTTCAGCTGAAGTCATATCTCAGGGTCGTGAGATGGAGCCCTGCCCCGCTCCATGCTCAGTGTGGAGTCGGCTTGAGATTCTCTCCCTCTCCTCCCCACTCTTCTCGCCTCCAAGCTTTCATGTGCTTTTCCTCTCTCTCTCAAGTAAATGAATAAATAAAATCTTTAAATAAAAGTACTTTAGACAAAGACAAAAGGAGTATACAAAAGGCTTACAAGTGCTTTCTTTGGGTGATGGGATTATTGGGTTTTGTTTGTATCTTTGTTTTTTACATTGGGTTTTTTTTTTTATCGGAAGGTTGGGTACATGTGAAATATAAAACTGATTTCTAGGACTCAAAAAAACTGACAGTATTTGGTGGCGCCTGGGTTGCTCAGTCTTTAAGCGTCTGCCTTCGGCTCAGGTCATGATCCCAGGGTCCTGGGACTGAGCCCCGCAACGGGCTCCCTGCTCTGCGGGAAGCCTGCTTCTCCCTCTCCCTCTGCCCCCTGCTTGTGTTCTCTCTCTCGCTGTGTATCTCTCTCTGTCAAATAAATAAACAAAATCTTTAAAAAAAAATTAAATTAAATTAAAAAAACTGACAGTATTTAAATTTATTTATTTAATAATTTTAGTATTTAAATTTATTTTTACACATGACCCACAGTTATTTGTTCCTAACTATTCCAATGACGGCCACCTCTCTCACTCTGGCTGTGAGACAGCATCCAGCCTGGCCTATCTGTCATTCCCTCTCCGAAAGTCTGACACAGGGAGATTCCCCAGCAGCACAAGGGACGTTCCCTCTGCACCCATGAGGACACTGCAGGCCACGGGCAGGGACTGCCCTGCTGCTGCGTGGGCCTCCTGGAAACCTTCCTATGGAGGCCAGCGGGCAGGCAAGTCTTCTGACCTCAGGGTCACTGAACGGGTCGGTGCACTATTTGTGTTCAGACAATCTGCGCTCTGACTCTGAAATAAGTACCGTGGCAAGCTGAACAATGTACGCTGTCATTCCCGTATTTGCCTTAAACTTTAGAAACCACACACAAATGACTTATCCAGCCTACATCCTGCCTAACCAAGTGTTCACGGAGCCGCAGAAGAAAGTGAGGGAGGGCGCCTGGGTGGCTCAGTCGGTGAAACGTCTGCCTTCGGCTGAGGTCACTATCTCCGGGTCCTGGGATCGAGCCCCGCATCGCATCGGGCTCCCTGCTCAGCAGGGAGTCTGCTTCTCCCTCTGCCCCTCCCCCTGCTTGTGCTCTGTCTCTCCTCTCTCTCACTCTCAAATAAATAAATAGAATCTTAAAAAAAAAAAAAAAGGAAAGAAAGAAAAAGGATCTTTTGGGGGCACCTGGTAGCTCAGTCAATTGAACATCTGAGTTTTGATTTTGGCTCAGGTCATGATCTTAGGGCCATGAGATCAAGTCCCGCTTTGGGCTCTGGGCTCAGTGGAGAGTCGGCTTGAGATATTCTCTTTCCCTCTCCCTCCACCTCTCCCCCTGCTCGTGCACTCATGTGTGTGCTCTCTCTCAAATAAATAAATTCTTAAAAAGAAAAAAAAAGATCTTTGTAGATATAATTAAGGATCTTGAGATGAGAAGATCATTCTGATTACGTAAGTGGGCCCTAAATCCAATGACAAGTGTCTTTATAAGAGAAAGGCCCAGGGAGCTTTGAGAGAAACAGGAGAGAAGGCCAAAAGGAGAAAGGGTATGAAAATGGAGGCAGAGGTTGGAACGATGCTGAGGAACAAGCCAAGGAATGCCAAGAAACACCAACAACCCTGAGAAGCTAGAGGAAACAAGGAACAGATTCTCCCTGAGTCTTCAGACGTGCTCACACCTTGATTTCAGACCTCTGCCCCCCAGAACTGTGAGTGAATAAATTTCTATTTGAAAGCCACCAGCCAGTGCAACTGTTAATGGCAGCCACAGGAAACTAAACACTTAGGATACACCCATCTCTTGTTCTACCTAATCTCTTTTATAATGTTTTAAGAAGAATATGAATTATTTTTAAATTAAAAATGTTAAAATATTGCTACATATTACAGTGTTCCTCAGATACTTGACTAAAACCCACAGTATAAACACCCAGTTCTAATACATATTATCCATAATGGAAAAAAGTTTCACAAAACAATTACCTTTATTACACAGGCTGCACTCTAATACTTTCTATTATATTCTATTTCATCCTTATAAAAAGCCAGTCACCACCCTCTACACTGACTTCAAGACCCACTTAAATGTTTTTCAAAACCAGTTAGCAGAGTGATGAATTTTGAAGCACCTCAGAAGGCTAGTTTGTTCGTTTTTTATAGACAGATGAGATGTCTGTGGAACTCTCCCCAGACCCAAAATGGCAAGGGTCCCTGCATGAGATTATAGGTTTCTTTAATTGTGGGATTGTGTCCTAATTTTTTTTCTAGTTCCCACAGTCCCTGGCATAGCCCTGACATACAGCAGGTGCTCAACACCACGTGGATCAAGAAGCTGAGCTAGGCACACCACGGAAGGAGACAAGGGAGGATCAAGAGCTCTCCTGCCCATTTCTTTAGCTCCCTGGCTGGTCCAGTTCTACCCAAACCGCACAAGGACAGGAGCACCAGCAGGGGTGCTACAGGAGCACGGCCCTACAAAATACAACTCCCTTAATACTGGTTAGTGTTCCCCCTAGGGGCTCCTATCACATGTCCGACATTGCTTCCAACACTTTACATGCATTAGCTCACTTCACTTCCACAACAACCTTCTGAGGGAGGTACTATTACCAGACATCTTTTTATAGATCCATAAGCTGATGCACAAAGAAACTGAGTAACTTTCCCAAGGCTAAACAGTTGTTAGGCAGAGGTCAGGATTCAACACCAAGCAGTCTGTTGTTTCTAGAATCCATGTTTCTCACCATTATACCACACTGCACCTTTGAGGCCCTGACCCGTTATGCTGTGATCCATCAAGACCAACCAAACTATGCCAACTCCACACAGTATTTTTTCTCAAACTGAAAGGTTTATATGTAAATTTTTGCCATTTTAAAAACCACTCTCTTTAAATTAGCCCCTTCTCTAATAATTTATATATTTATTTGTATTAATATCAACATGTTTGAAGCCTTCAGAAGTGTAAGAGAATCCTGTGAAGTCTCTGTAAAGTGCTCGCTAACTCTCCAGAGAGGGAGGGGGGGCACAGCTGGTAACTGACTGGCGGACTGGGTTCTGGAGAACTCTGCCATTCAAAGAGCTAGGTCCTCCACCCCAGAAACAGCCCACCAGAGTCTAATTCAATGAGTTAGCCTGTATTTCTGTAGGACAGAGCCAACACGATTTTAGAATTACCACAAGGAAACTCAATTGTTTTTAGTGGGGAAAAAAAAAAGATTATACAGCTTGCTTTATAAAAGAGAAAAATCTAGGCATTGATATCTCAAAAATGATGACCAGATATTATGTGCCTATGAAAAGAAATACCCGCCAAGTTAAACTTGCCAGAAAAAAAACAAAACAAAAAAAACCAACAACAACACGAAACAAACCTGAATCTGGTCAAGCACCTGGATCCAGCTGCCAAATTAATGGAAATAAAGGAGACAATAGGACATATTAAATAACACCACATGACTGGAGCCAGAAAAACCCAGAATGTAGAAACTGCTACAGGATCAAGGACCTAATTTCTTCAAAATACAAATTACAAAGCAAAAATAAAAGAGAATGAGGTGTAGAGGAGGGACTCTCAGATTAAAGAATTTAAAAGACCTATAAACCCATGTAATGTGTGGTCGGCCTTATTTGGATCTTGATTCAAACAACTATTAAAATAGTACTTACAGAGGCACGTGGCTGGCTCAGTCAGTACAGCATGGTGACTCTCGATGTCAGAGTTGTGAGTTCAAGCCCCACGTTGGGTGTAGAGCTTACTTTTTTGGGGGGAGTGCTTGAGTAGCTCAGTCGGTTAAGCGTCCAACTCTTGATTTAGGCTCAGATCAGGATCTCGGAATCATGGGATGGAGCCCAGTGTCAGGCTCTGGGCTCAGCGTGGAGTCTGCTTGAGATTTTCCCTCCCTCTCCCTCTGCCTCCACTCCTCCCCCGCTTGCACCTCTCTCTCTTAAAAAAAATTTTTATTGGGACACCTGGGTGGCCCAGATGGTTAAGCATCTGCCTTCAGCTGGGGTCGTGATCCCAGGGTCCTGGGCTCGAGCTCCATGCTGGTTCCCCGCTCAGCAGGGAGTTTGCTTCTCCATCTGCCTCTGCCTCTCTCTCTGTCTGTCTGCCTCTCCCTCTCAAATGAATAAATAAATCTTAGAAAGAAGGAAAAAATACAATAAAAAAATTTTAAAAATTGTATTAAAAAAATAATACTGGGGCACCTGGGAGGCTTAGTCGTTAATTGTCTGTCTTCGGCTCAGGTCATGATCTCAGGGTCTTAGGATCGAGCCCCGCATCGGGCTCCCTGCTCCACGGAAGGCCTGCTTCTCCCTCTCCCACTCCCCCTGCTTGTGTTCCCTCTCTCACTGTGTCTTTCTCTGTCAAATAAATAAAATCTTCAAAAAATAATAAAAAAAATAAAACACTTCTGATTTACTTTTGGGAAAAATGTATGAAAACTTTTACCTTTTTTTAAAAAAAGATTTTTTAATTTATTTATTTAACAGAGATAGACACAGCGAGAGAGGGAACACAAGCAGGGGGAGTGGGAGGGGGAGAAGCAGGCTTCCCGCTGAGCAAGGAGCCCGATGCGGGGCTCGATCCCAGGACCCTGGGATCATGACCTGAGCCGAAGGCAGCGCTTTAACGACTGAGCCACCCAGGCGCCCTGAAAATCTTTTAACTTTAAAACTACTACTTGTGGGGCGCCTGGGTCGCTCAGTCAGTTGAGCATCTGACTCTTGGCTTCGTCTGAGGTCATGATCTCATGCTTGTGAGATCCTGAGATGGCTCTACGCTCAGCAGGGATTCTGCTTAAGACTCTCTCTCCCTCTGCCCTGCCCCCACTCTCTAAAATAAGTATATAAATCTTAAAACTACTACTCGTTCTTTGCTATTTCAAGCATGCTTCTGTGGCTCACCCTCCCCACCAAACCAAGTACACAGCAAGTACTGTTCTTGTGTTAACTCTCCTCTTTTATCTTTTTCTCTACTAACCCCTCACCTCAAATCTATTTGCTTTCAACCTGTGGGAACATAGGCTGAAAACTAAAAGCTTCAATTACCAGAGACCCCTCCCTAGGTACACATTAGTAAATTTTCATGTGTTCTTTCAGGATGAGCTGTTTTCTTCTCAACACTTGCCTAGCTAATAAAACCATTAAGAAAGTCAAACAGAGACTTCATCAAATCATCATCTATCCAGGTTAATTAATAACTATGCACAAGGCAAGCAAGAAACCAAACACAAATTTAGAGTCCCATCTTCACGTTCATTACAGTATTCTCTCTTATTACAAAACACTAGAAATATCCCATGTGTCTATTAACAGAAAATAATTTTAAAAATTATGATAGGGGTGCCTGGGTGGCTCAGTCGTTACGCGTCTGCCTTCGGCTCAGGTCATGATCCCAGGGTCCTCGGATCGAGCCCCGCATTTGGCTCCCTGCTCAGCGGGAGGCCTGCTTCTCCCTCTTCCACTCCCCCTGCTTGTGTTCCCTCTCTCGCTGTGTCTCTGTCAAAAAAAATAAAATCTTAAAAAAAAAAATTCTGATAAATCCTCCTAGAACATGTAAAGTTTAAAAATCTTTTTTATTTAGAGGACGCCTGGTTGGCTCAGTCCGTTAAGAGGCTGTCTTCAGCTCCGCTCAGGATCCCAGCGTCCTGGGATCGAGTCCTGCATCAGGCTTCCTGCTCAGCTCAGTGGGGAGTCTGCTTCTCCCTCTGCCCCTACCCCCAACTCGTGCTCTCGCTCTATCAAATAAATAAGTAAATTATTTTTTATTTATTTATTTTAAAAGATTTTATTGATTCATTTGACAGATGAGCCACCCAGGCACCCCAATAAACTACTTTTTAAAAAAATAAAGATTTATTTATTCGGGAGAGGGTCCCATGAGTGGGGGAGGGGCAGGAGCAAGAGGCGGGGCTTGATCCCAGGGTCCGTGAAATCACAGCCTGAGCCAACACGGAGAGTCAACAGCTTAACAGACTGAGCCACCCACGTGCCCCACAAAAAGAGTACGTATTTTAGGCATGGATGCATGAAAGCATGGTAGAGGATACAAACCAAAACGTCAGCAGTGGTTTACTTTGGGTACTGAAAATGATTTTTTTAAAGATTTTTATTTTATTTATTTTTACTTTTTATTATTTCATTTATTTTTTATGTATTTATGTTTGTATGTATGTATTTATGTATGTATGTATTTATTTATTTATGAGAGAGAGAGAGCGTGTGCACCAGAGAGAGCACAAGCAGGGGGAGCAGCAGAGGGAGAGGGAGAAGCCTGCTCCCTGCTCAGCAGGGAGCAGGTTGCAGGGCTCCATCCCAGGGCCCTGAGATCATGACCTGAGCCGAAGGCAGATGCTTAACCGACTGAGCCACCCAGGCACCCTGAAAATGATTTTTTTTTTTTTTTAAAGTAGGCTCCACACCCAGCATGGAGCCCAAAGCGGGGCTTGAATTCGCTACGCTGAGATCAAGACCTGAGATGAGGTGAAGAGTTCGGCACTTAACCAAATGAGCTACCCAGTTGCCCCTGAGTACTGAAAATGATTTAATTAAACTTTTCTTTTTCAAAAAAATTTTTGTGGGGTGCCTGGGGTGGAGCCTCCTTAGGATTCTCTCTCCCTCTCCCTCTGCCCCTCCCCCTGCAATTGTGCTCATTATTGCTCTCCAGAACTTGTCTAAATCACATACTACTTGTAAAATGCATTATCAATTACAAAGAGAACAGAAGTTTCAGTCTCCAAAAGAAAAGCAGAATGCATCATAGGGGACCCTCCTAGGCTTGTGACATGGTAGAAAGAAGTGCATGCCTAAAACAAGCTGACAAAAATTCCCAAATGCCATCACCCTACCCGGCCACTCTGGGTAAGTCCACTCACTTCATTCCTCATTCGATGTTTACTGAGCTCCTTTCGATAATGAGACTGTGCTGGACCATGGTGATGGTGATGTTTCCCTGGCCGCCCAGAGTTTATGATCCAGTGGGGAGACAAATTAAACATATTTACACAAATAATTATCAATTACTGTTGGAACAGGAATGCAAATGTGGTCTGATGAGTGTTTTCCTTGCCCCGACCCCCAAATCAGTGGCCCCCATCTGTAAAATGAGAAGGGTGTATCCTTGGTGGAGCTGCCCTCTAGTAGTCAGTCTTTTTCGTGAGATTCCCCCAAAAAAACTGAGAAGAAAATCAAACCAAATATATGCCCTGTAGCAAACTGAAGAGCATGCATAAGGGTCAAGCTAAAAGGGGATGAGCAAAGAGGCATGCTAAGGGGCAGAAGAACTTTGGGGATGCTCTATTTCTTAATCATACTCGATTTAGTTTCAGATTGGGAGGGAAAGCTCCATCTACCATTATTAATGTCTGTCACTTAACTAACCCTTTAGGAAAGTTACCATGCAATAGGAACAAAAGTATGTGGAGAAAAAAACCCTCAAGGTGCAATATTAAATAGTTCTGGTTAACAAGTAACTTGATTTTTTTGTTGTTGTTGAACAAGTTCACTATATTCTCCAGGAACCAGTCCCCCCCACCACCCCAGCCCCGTCAATTTGTAAACAACAAGTCAAATACTCAGGGCTATCTTCCTATACGAACTGTCTAAATCAGAAAAGCATTCAGTCATCTACACCTACGTATTTTTTAAATGTTTGCACAATCTTAGTTTTACCCCCGAATTTTAAGTTTCCAACTTTAAAAGACAGAGGCAAAACGAAAAGTGTTCACCACAGTTTCAATGTTCCTGGTTAATAAATAAATGTCTTTATTCTAATGCTGACCAATAAAATGTATACAGTGGTGCAGTTTTCAAGTATATACTACAACATCCTTTTCTGCAGCTCCAGGGGAAAAAGGATCACTTTCTTCAGTCTAATTCAAATCGACAGTGATTTGCTCTTTTACAATGTTTTTACGAAGAAGATAAAAGCGAGACCCTGCCTTTTACAGCAGGTCTGCAAATTGCGCAGGGAAATGAAAACCTCGCTTTTAAGACTACCCTGGCTGCTCCAAACAGCCGGACACCCGTTAGCAACACAGTAGCGTGATATCCGGCCAACGATCCCCTGATGAGAGGCCCGCTCAGCCCGGGAGACCCCGCCCCCAGGAGGACAGGCTGGAGCACACACCCGGCAGCACATCGGCGGAACCCAGCTGCCCCGCACAAGTTAGCCCCTGAGCACCGCCGGACGGCTCCCGTGCTGTTCCAGTCCCGGAGCTGGCAGCCTCCGCCATACACACCTCAGCGCCAGCCAAAGTCTGTTACGTGTGGCACACAAAGGCCCGGAAACCCAGGGCCGTAAGGTCACCTGGCCGAATAAAAGGCACGGTCCGAGAAGTTCCATTTGTAAAATCCGCGTGACTCGCAACTGCTTTAGAACTGGAGGCTGAGCGCTCATTACCCCCCAAACTCAGCGGGGTCCGGCCCTTCCAGACCCCGGCCATCCACGGTGCCGGAGGAGCTTCGCGCCCCGGGAGGGTTTCGAACTACGTGAGCCGACTCGGAAGAAGGGGCTCTAAAAGCTGAAGGGGGTCGCAAAAAGCGCCAAAGATGTTTCCCAGGCCTTGGCTCTCACCCAGTCCACATTGCTCTGCGCCAACCAACTCCAAGGGGCCAGCCCCTCAGTATTTGCGGAAAGCTCCTTAGTTTACAAAGAAGCCAACCAGGAGGAAGGGCGGTTGAGCCCTCTAGGTATCCTTTAGATGTGAGCACTCCATTCCCTCCGCGGACCTCAGCCTCTCCCGTTTGTCCCACCCAGCTAGTAGGCCCTCCCGGCGCAGGGATCCCCATCAAAGTCACCTAGAGGGGGATGCGAGAGGTGGTGGCAGCGGCAGCAGAACACCCTTCGCGCACCTGCCCGCTTCCACCACCTGCCCGTGTGCCTTGGACCCCCGCTCCTTAGCGGCAGGAGCCCTCCCTGACCAAGTTTCTCACCTTGGATGGTGCGACTGCAGGAGACAGAGGCCGCCAGCAGGATGGCGCCCCCCAGCATACAGGCCGCGCTCACGCTTCGCATCCTTCCTGCAGCCCCGACGCCGGGCGGGCAGGGCAGTCGCCGCCACTGATTCTAAACTCGGAGTTCCACTCGCCGCTCGGAGAGGAAGCCGCGGTCTCACCTGCTCTAATCCAAGCCTCTCCACTCGCCTCCCGAGAGAGGGCTAAGTTTCAGTGAAACCCGAAGCGCTTGGCGCACCTGCGCGATGCCACGCCCCCGGGCCGGAACGCGCGGCTAGGCTCCTCCCCTGCGAACGCAGACGCTCGGGTCCGGCTCCGGGCAGTCTGGCTCCGCGCGCGAGCCCCGACCTACGCGCTGCAGGTGCGCCAGCCGCCGGCGGGAGAGTGCGGGAGCCGCCCGCAGGCTGGGCGGGGCGGGTGAAGCAGCTGTATTGGAATGCAAATGACAGGAACGCCGGGACAGCGAGTTCTCTTAGACCGGGCCACGCCTACAACTCCCATTACCCTTTAATTACTGTTGGGGAGCCAGGGTCTTCCGTGTCTTTCCCTCCCCCTTGCTAAATGGAAAAAGCCGAGGCCTGAGCTCACGGACTTTGTCGTTGGTAATTGGTAGAGGCTTCCCAGTGTAGCGGGCACTGGGGGGATAAGGGGTGAGCTTGTTGGATTTTTTTTTTCTGCTTTGTTTTTTTGTTGTTGTTTTGAAGGGGTAAGTTTTTAATCTGCAGACACTTGGTAGATGGCTGCGGACACCAACGAAAGCGGTGGGGAGCAGGAAGGAGTCCCGGCGAGGGGTCAAGAATCTGGAATTAGTTTCCACTCTGCTGTTAACTAGCTGTGATCTCGAACAAACCTCTTCACCCCCTTCTAGGCCCATTTCCTCGACCAGTGAGGTGGAGCGGGCGAGGTGATAGTTGGGACAGCTACCTTAAGTGCCAAGAGCTGATGATTTGGAACACTAGTTTAATACCGACCGCAAGCCGCGCATTAAGTATGCTTATTCCCAATTTACAGATGAAGAACTGGCGTTTAGAAAGGTTGGATAAATTGCCCACATTTACGCAGTTTATAGGCACAGTTTATAAACACACACCACATTTAATCTCTAGTCTATGACTGCCACTTTCTATTAATCACTGCACAATAAATGCTTTGACCAGGGCCTCCCCCGCATAGGGAGCCGGTAGTCCAAAGAAATATATAAGAAGATAGAGGGAGTGTTGAGAAAAGGAGTGAGAGTTTGGGGGTGGGTGTACAAGGGCCAGCATCATACTGGTAATATTTTTTGCTTTGAAAAAGCAAAATCAGGGGCACCTGGGTGGCTCAGTTGGTTAAGCGATTGCCTTCGGCTCAGGTCATGATTCCACGGTCCTGGGATGGAGCCCCACATCGGGATCCCTGCTCGGCGGGCCTGCTTCTCCCTCTCCCACTCCCCCTGCTTGTGTTCCCTCTCTCGCTGTCTCTGTCAAATAAATAAATAAAATCTTTAAAAAAAAAAAAAGAAAAGGCAAAATCGAGTTTAAAGTTACCTGCTAAACTACTGGGTGATGGAGGAGCAGAAAAGAGAAACATTAGCATTGTCCTCAGATGTTTGAAGGATTAATGCTCAGAGAAGACGATTAGACAGGTTTTGAGTAGCTCCCCAAGAGCAGAAATATATGGAAGCCACAGTGGGAGGCTAATTGTGGCTCAGTATAGAAAGATTTCTAGCAAGTACCACTGGTCTCAGTCCTGAGAGCTGTCAGCTGTCAGCTGAGCTTGAGGGCCACATCACTACAGGACTTGCAGCAAAGGACCAGGCCATCCTGCACGTTGGAGAGGGGAGTTCCTTCCCAGGGCAAGGGGCCAGATTGGGTGAGTCTAGATAGCCTCTTGAGAGGCTTGAGTCCTGAGAGTCCACCATTCTCCTTAGAAGACCTCTAAGTTTGGTAAATCAGTTACTGGTGACTATCATGAATTTTTGAACCACCATAAACCAAATGGCCACAGACCTGTGAGTTTCTAAGATGGAGCTCACATCTGATAAGGGCCCTGTGTGACTTCTTACTGACACCACCATGGGGCCAATAAACAAAACTAATGTGGGCTCCAGATAATTTGGGCAGACAAAATTGTATAAAATATCCTGTTAGCCAGTTGTTCCAACCATATGCCCAATAAGACATTTCCCAAGTTACCTAAGTGGATGGTTAGCATTCTGCCTCTTCCCTGGGTCCTGACAGGAGCTCGCAGGAGTAGGGAAATAAATGGTTGAAAACAAAGAGAAGCAAATGGCCCTGAACCTGCCATGAGAATGGAATAATTGCTCCCTGAATAACAGGAGTGACTGCCTCTCAACACACATACAGCCAAGAATGGCCAGCAAAAGCTGTCCAGATTTTTATTTTTTTTTAAGATTCTCTTTATTTATGAGAGAGAGAGAGAAGAGACAGAGCCGGGGTGGGGAGGAGCAGAGGGAGAAGGACAAGCAGACACCATGCTGAGCACAGAACCCCACAGAGGACTCGATCTCAGGACCCTGAAATTATGATCAGCGCCGAAACCAGGAGTCAGACACTTAAGTGTCTGAGCCACCCAGGTGCCCCCAGAATTCTTTTTACTGGCTGCCTTTCAGTAGTGCATCTCTAGGAATCTCTCACTGTTATGTCTCCAGTTCTCTGGGAAATGTGATTAAGAGCTTGGCCTTGAAATCATGTAACCTTGCTAACATTTGTGTGACCTTAGAGAAATTACTTACCTTCTCTAAGCTTTTGGTTCTTTACTTATAAAATGGAGTCAATATTTTTTTTTTTTTTTTTTTTTTTTAGTTTAAAGGTGTGTGAGGATAAAATAGTGACCATGTTTGATGCCTGGTCAAAGCTCAACAGATGGGCTTTTTATTTCCTTCCTTTCTCTCTGCAGTCTTCTTTACACCCCAACCTGCCACCTAGCTCTCAGGATGCTGCCTCCCAGGGCCACTTGCCTCAGCCTATACCCTTTCTCCCTCCCAGGAAAAGTTGCCTTCTAGCAGCAGCACAGGGATCTTCCTCATCCTGTCCAGGGGACACTTCTCCTCATGAGGATCAGTCCTCTCCGACAGGGTCTCCCACTAGGGAAGATAAGATACTAAATCCCTATGATGTCCCTTCAATCTTTCCTCAGGCTCCATTTTGTTATCTATAACCTGGGGATGTCCATAGTACCTTTCTTGTAGGATGGTTGTGAAGATTTAGTTTGCTAAATGCCCATAAATGCTTCTTAGCACAGTTCCTGGTATAGAGTAAATACTCAAGAGATAGTAGTTACTATAGAATGACTGGACCAGGGAGAGTCTTCCTCTTTGCAGAGAACAATGCATAAAACTCCAGCTGTTTTGACTTAAATTTTCACTGGTATTTTATGTAAATATGCCTTGAAACATCAACATTTCAAAGAAAATATTTTATTGAGCACTGCTATGAGTTAATTATCTCATGAGTGTGTTTTCTCCCAACCACCTGACTAAATGAACTGTATTATTTAAGTCCGCTTGCCCATGTTTTCCGGTGATTTGTTTTTTGTTGTTGATGACTTCTTTGCCCTGAAGGGCTTAGGGTGTTGTATGGTGCTATGGAACAGTACAGAGAAGTAAACACAGCCAATTCCAGATAGCCTGGCTTCCAGGGATTGGGAAGTTTGGGCAGTTTCCCACCCTCTACAGTTCTAAAGAAAATAAAGTAGGAAATGGGATAGGCCAGACACTGAGGAAGAAGCTATTTCATTCAATCAGTTCTACAACCATTTATCAAACTCATCAAACTCTTCCTGGAGAAACAAAGATCTAGTCCCTGCACTTGGGTCCTGGATTCTTGCAATAGCCTTGTGACTTGTATCCCTCCCTCTGACACTCTACACAGTCTCCTCCCAATATAGTGGTCCGAGTGAACCTGTGAAAATGTGCATCAGATCAGATCACTTCCTTATTTCAAATACTGAAGTAGTTCCCCACTTCCCTGGGAGTACAAACCAAAGTCTGTCAAAAGTGTATGCATCCTGGGGCGCCTGGGTGGCTCAGTCGTTAAGCGTCTGCCTTCGGCTCAGGTCATGATCCCAGGGTCCTGGGATCGAGCCCCACATCGGGCTCCCTGCTCGGCGGGAAGCCTGCTTCTCTCCCTCTCCCACTCCCCCTGCTTGTGTTCCCTCTCTCACTGTGTCTCTCTCTGTCAAATAAATAAATAAAATCTTAAAAAAAAAAAAGTGTATGCATCCTGCCTTCCTCCCCCATACACACACAACGCACACACATATACACACATACTCCCTTTCACTTCATCTCTTTTATTCCGCTCTCTCATTCTGCTCCAGCCATGCCTGGACCACAGCTTCGGTCTTTACTTCTTTCAGGTATTTGCTACAACACTATTTTCTCAGCGGGGCCTTCTAAGAACTACTTATTTAAAATTATACTTCTGGAGCACCTGGCTGGCACGGTCAGTGGAGCATATGACTCTTGATCTCGGGGTTGTGGGTTTGAGCCCCATGTTGGGTGTAGCGATTACTTTAAAATAAAATAAATAAAATAAAGATAAAAGAATAATGAAAAAAATTAAATTACCCTCCCACCCTCTGCTTCCCATCCTCCCTCCCTGAACGTTTTCCTCTCTGGCACGCATCCCCAGTATTGCTACTCTACATGTATTTACTTACTCTCTAGCTCTCCCACCACGATGCAATGCAAGCTCTATGACTACAGAAATTTTTTTTTTCATTTTAGCTTGCAGAATTGTTTAAAAAGATTGAGGAAGTAACACCATCTGAAGGTGGCAATGGTCTCTTACACACTCAACTCTATGATGTCAAATTAGTATTTAAGTCCCAGTTTAAATCACTCCTTAAAATACAGGGAGGCCGATGTCTAAAACACTGCAAAGGTGAGCCTTTAAAATGTAGAGGACCAGGATTTTTTAACTGAGATAAGTTTTACCTGCTGCTGTATTCCCAGTGCTAGAATAGTGTCTAGCACATAGAAGGAACTCAACACATACTTGTGAAGGAGTCAGTTTTTATAAACTGCACATCTACTATCTATCATTCTGCTAAAATCTAGAATTGCGAAGATCAGTATCTCTGCTTCCGTTGAATTGATAGTCAAATGTGAAGAGAGATGCATAGATAAGTCAAGTATTGGGGGTGGGAGTAGTGGTAAGTGATGCATCTTTGAAGGGCTGTGGACACACACAGAATGACACCTGCCTGGGGGAATGAGAAAAG